CCCCAAAACCCCAAAACCCCAAAACCCCAAAACCCCAAAACCCCATGAATTCTTAGAAGGATTGTTTAACAGTTATAAAATTTATTTCTCAACAATAAATGAATAAGAACAATGCCTGGACTGACAGCATCAGTGATGCAGTCAACGGGGCTAGACGAAACTTGGTAAGAGCTCACGGCAGAAGCTTTGAAGATGGAGGCCAAGCCCACGGAGTCCATGTTACAAGCAAAGGAAATGTCATCTGATATGATGTCTCCTGCCCAATTTGTCAGAAGGACGCCACTAAAGTTACTACAACTACAGTGTATCATAAGCCAAATACTCATGATGAGAAGATCAAAGACATTGAACGGCAAAAGGAAATGGAGGATTTTAAATATGGAGTTGCCAAAAACTGCAGAAATATTGAGAAAAAGGTTGACCAAGCTCTTGACATAAACGGAGATGAGCTCATGCGAATCAACAATAGAATCGACCTCCTTGCCAACAAGGTTGGCAAGGCTGGCCAAGGAGATACTGAGGCCATGAAGGACTACGTTGAAATCAAGTTTATGGATGTTGATAAACGTAATGGCAAAGCATTTGATACTCTTGAGCAGCAAAATGCTCATCTTCAGAAGAAAATAGATAATCTCCAAAAAGTTGTTGAAAAACTTCTTGATGACAAGGGAGGAGCCATTACCACAGAAATAGAGGAAGAGATCAATAACTTGTATACAAAGAAACGTGAGCATGCTGCTCGGCTTGATCAAGCAATGGAGAGAATCTCTGATCTTGAAAAAGACCTTTACGAAAACCAAGAAGTTCTTGGAAGAAACCGCCTCAGCGAAAGAGATATTGGATCACTTCGAGTAGAACTAAATGGCAAGGTTGAAGACCTTAAGCTGAGACAAGACCAAGATCTAGCCCAGTCAAACTCTAGACTTCAGAAAAGAATGGATGACTTACAAGGAGCTATCGAAGGGCTTGACCAAGCGATGGATGAGATTGAGCAAAGAAGGCAAAATGGAGAAAATAACATTCTAAAAAAGTCTATGCAAATTCTGAAAGAAGGTAACCTTGAAGGCGAGCTCCTCGACATGAGAAGAAAAATCAAAGATCTAGAGACAGAAGTATTTAAGCCAAAAGAGCCAGTTGCTTTTAACATTGAAAAAGAAGAAATTGTTAAAGAAATCGTCCAAGGAATGGCCCAATTTGAAAGAGATATTTCTGATATGAAGAAACAGCTGGAAGAGCAAGACAGAGATATTCAAGATGCAGCTAAACTTTTACATGTACTTGATCAAGAAAAGATTAAGGATAAGGAACTTATTGGAAACTTAAGAATCCAACTTGCTGAACTGGATAGGTCTTACGAAGCAATGAAAAGAGAAAAGGCTCAGATTAACCAAAATATTGAAGACCTCAGACTAGCTTGAGAGTCCGAATTTAATCATGTAAAGAAATCAGAAATCACAGATTTCAAAAATCTAAATAACAAAATGAACGACTTGACTAATCTTCAGGATATCGTAGAACAGCTAGCAGATCAGGTGGAGTACATGCAGAAAGAGATAGAAGGGGTTCGAAAAGAGCATAGCCATACGCCTGTCAGGATCAAGAACAAGGTCAACACAGGAAATCTCACAAGCTCAATGACTCCTTCTACAATGCTTTTCTCCGATTTGAAAAACAGAAAAGTTCTTGAGCCTGAAGAACTAGAAAGTAGGGCACATGCAAGTAGAAACTTATCTTTCGAGAACAGCAGGTTCAGAGACAGCCCAGTCACTGAGAAAGTTCGCGAAAGTTTGTTCTCAAGATCAAGGCTCAGCAGGTATCTTGCAGAGAATCCGAGTCTGAAGGATAGGGAGTATATCGAAATAGAAAATGAAAGATTTCACAGAGAAAGAGAACTTCCTGGAAAGTTGGTCAGAAAACTTCATACAGCAGATGTTCCTGAAAAGAGTAACCTTCTTCTAACCCTGTAGTCAGTAACGTGCGACAGAATTCCTTCCTTCCAGAGCCATATAAGATAAATCAGGCTGAACCAGAACCTAGAAAGAATAGGAAATCAAGCATTGATCGTACTCCAAAGAGGAGAAATGATTCTATTTCTTCAAAATATTCCTACAACCAGAAGAAGAACGTGAAAGAGCAAAATGAGAAATTTAATAAAGGAGGTAATTCATGTCTATAATCTTTAGATACATCTGTGCTGAAGCAGCATGCCAACAAGGGCCCCCAAGGAGGCAAGCCCGGAGAAGCTGTCTCTAGGGTCGAGAACCTGCTTGACAAGCTTCCCTCTGAGAGTTATGATGATTATGAAGATTCTGAGTCAGAAGATTTTCCCAAAGGAACCTTCCAATCACAAGCTAAATCAGCTGCTGCGAATCAATTCCAAAGAATGAACCAGAATGTTACAGGCAAGAAGTAAAAGGTTAAGACTTTTCAATATTAACTTTGAAAAATGGGGTTTTGGGGTTTTGGGGTTTTGGGGTTTTGGGGTTTTGGGG